CTTTCTTTCTTTCTTTCTTTCTTTCTTTCTTTCCTTCTTTCCTTCCTTCTTTCTTTCTCTCTCTCTCTCTCTATCTCTTTCCTTTTCTTTTCCTTTCCCCTTGCCACAGAAAGAACGGACCTTCTCGTTTTGCGGCACCATCGAATACATGGCCCCCGAGATTGTACGCAGCAAAAGTGGACACGGCAAGGTGAGAAACTTGGCATAAAATTCTCCGCCGGAATGGCCACAGCCCGGAAAGCAGGTTTCTCAAGTATGAGAGGGGAAAAAAGGAGGCAGCATTAATGGTCTGTGCAGAAGCTTTCGATAAAGTCACGGTGGAAAAGCTTTTTCCAGTAGAGGGGAAGGCATACCTTAGGGGGAGCAAGTGGAAGGAAGCAGAATACGCTAATCTTCGACATACGACCAAAATTGGGACCAGCATTTTACATGGCTAAGTCTGGGAAGTGAATCGTCCCCATTTTACGGCCCTGCTTTTGCCAGTTGTTAAATGCATCACACGGTTTGTCAGCTCATAAAGTATTTATATGCTCTTGTTAGAGTTGCCAACAGAAAGGGAGGAGGGGGGAGCAGTGTGACAGCTTGCAAACTGAAAGTGCATTCCGTAAATGTTTTCAAAGATAGTAAACTAGGTGACCGAAGTTTCTGCCACGCAAGATTCTAACTGGAGAACATGATTGATGACTCTGGGCTATGGTTGTGTCCCATTGGAGAATATGAATTATATTAGGAGGTGGGGGAAAACCTGGGTCAAGGGCGACAGTGCATTAAGTGTCTCAGAGTCGGCTACACCCAGGCAGTGCCAGCATGTTTACTCCTAAAAAATCTTCTTTTTAAGTTTTGGACGTTTGGCTCAAGACTCATGATTTAAATGGGGGGTAACACCGGAATCCTGACACAGTTGTTAAGTGAATCATTCAGTTGTTAAGTGAATCCAGATTCCCCACCCCGTTAATTTTGATTGTTGGAAGCCAGCAGAAAAGGTCGCCAATGGGGGAAATCACACGATCCCAGGACACGGCAACCATCCTAAATGCAGGCTGGTTGCCTGAATTTTCATCATGTGACCATCAGGATGACGTGTCAGTCGTAAGCGTGAGGACCGCTTGTCTGTCCCCTTTTTTTTCCAATGCTGTTGGAACTTCAAGCAGTCGCTAAACGGACATTCGTAAGTCGAGGACCCCCTGTATTGTACCAGTCTTGAGTTGCCTTCTTCTCCCCCCACCTTGCAGTCTGTGGACTGGTGGAGTTTGGGAATCTTGGTTTTTGAGCTCCTGACCGGCGCGTCTCCTTTCACGCTCGAAGGGGAGAAGAATTCGCAGGCGGAGGTCTCCAGGTGAGGTGGGGGGGGGGGAACTGGAAGATTTGGGGGAGACAGGGAGGGGGGCAGGTAGCCAAGGGAAGGAGGGGCAAAACCAAACCAGATACGGGAGTGATGGAAGGAGGGGGGGGGAGAGAGAGAGAGCGTGAAGTCGACAGACGTAGTTTGATTCCCAGGGAGAAAAATATTCCAAGCAAAAGCCATGAAAAAAAAATTAAAAAGTGATATTTCAATGACTCCTTGCTAGCTACCAACACCATATTCAGCCCAGGCACAGAGGCCTGGCTAGGAGGGGACATTTTTATACACCTAAAAGGGATTTTTCCCTGCTGTTTCCGACTTCTTGAGCCTTGTGGCACAGTGATTAGAGAGCGGTACTGCGGGCTACTTCTGCTGACTGCCGGCTGACTGCAATTTGGCAGTTTGAGTCTCACCAGGCTCAAGGTGGACTCAGCCTCCCGTCCTTCCGAGGTCAGTTAAGTGAGGGCCCAAAATTGTTGGGGGCAAGAGGCTGACTCTGTCAACCGCTTAGAGAGGGCTGTGAAGCACAGGGGAAGTGATATATAAGTCTAAGTGCTATTGCTGTTTTCCTTCCTTCCTTCCTTCCTTCCTTCCTTCCTTCCTTCCTTCCTTCCTTCCTTCCTCCCTTCCCTTCCCTTCCCTTCCCTTCCCTTCCCTTCCCTTCCCTTCCCTTCCCTTCCCTCACAGGAGTTAAAATACACTATTGCAGGCTAACTCTGCCCACAGCCAGGAAGGTTGATCCTGACCGGCTTAATGTTGACTCAGCCATCCGTCCTTCCAAAGTCATTAAAACGAGGACTCATTTGACTCTGTAAACTGCTTAGAGGGGCCTGTAAAGCGCTGGGAAGTGGTATCTAAGGGCTGTTGCTGTTGCTATTCTAGACGGATCCTGAAGTGCAGCCCACCCTTCCCGTCACTCATCGGCCACGAGGCCCGCGACCTGCTGCAGAAGCTCCTGTGCAAAGACCCCAAGAAACGCCTGGGCTCCGGCCCGACGGGGGCCCAGGAGATTAAAGAGCACCCCTTCTTCAGGGTAAGGTTGGCGAGTCCTACGCCTGCCTTTGAGGCGCTGAGCAGGGTTGATATCTGATCAGCCTTTCCCAGAAAATTGTGCACGCAAAGGATTGGGAGAAGTGATTGTCACCGCACAACGTCTGGTTTTATTGTGTTTTGTTGGGGTTTTATTTTTATTTAGAGCAGGGATCTCTAACCTCAGGGACTTTGAAGGTGTGTGGACTTCAACTCCCAGAATCCTCTAGTCAAGAGTTTTGGGAGTCAAAGTTCACTCATCTTCAAGCATGTTAGCTGGGGAATCCTGGGAGTTGAAGTCCGCCCCTCATAAAGCATGTTGGCTGGGGAATTCTGGGAGTCGAAGTCCACTCATCGTGAAATTGCTGAGGTTGGGAAACAACTGAGCTGGTTTATCTTTGCACCCTAGTTATATATCTTCTCCCCAATATTTCCTCCCCCCCCTCCAGGTTCTGGACTGGGTTGAACTAGCCGCGCGCCGGGTCAGGCCGCCGTTTAAACCCCTCATCCGCCACGAGTTGGACGTGCGAAATTTTGCCGAAGAATTCACCAGCTTGGATCCCATCTACTCTCCAGCTGGGACCCCTCCCAGCCTAGACCGTGTCTTCCAGGTGCGTCTCCCCCAAATGCCATATTTCCTTAGGTATTGAAGATGGCTGACCTCATTTTATGATGGTATTCTTTAAAAAAAAAAAACACCAGCACTTAGTAAGGCAAAACTTAACAAAACTACAGCAAAACTTGACAAAACTACCAAATAATGGGTTTGTTTAACCACTGCAGCATTCACCATTACGACTACTGGGTTCATTTAACAGCCAGCACAAAAAGCATCATAAAATTGGGTGTCATTAAAACTGTAATAGGCAGGCAGTCGTAATTCGAGGACCCTATCATTGGATAGGGTTCATTGCAAGCGTTTGTGAAAAGGTTTTAATATTTGCAGCAATCTGTTGCTAGTCTGTTAATCCCGTCAATTATGTTCTATCGGTAATAATATTCGTGGCAAAATAAACTTTTAAGGGTAGGGAAAATGACAGGCTAATATTCTCAGACCTCAAGTCCCAGAGCAGGCACCGTGGGACGTGTAAGTTCAAGGCAGTAACGTTAAAATGAAGCGGCCAAAATTGTCATTTCGCTGCTTTGGATTGCTCTACGTATTCAAACTTGCTGGACAAGGGGGCAGCAAAGAACTTGAACATGGGAGGATTCAATGAACATAAGCCGCAGGGAGAAAGGAAGTGATCGGAGGGCTTTCGAAAAGATCTTTCCGAGAGGTTAAAAAAAAAGGCCAGAAAAATTGTGGTTTTCGCTTTGAAACCAAATGGGGCCGTTTTTTTTTCTCTTTCACGATCTAAATCATTTCAGGAAGTGCCCTGCGCAAACTTACTCATCTGTGAAGACGGTAGAACAGAATAAAAATAGGGTGTTTTTTTTTTCCATCTTGGAGGACTAGATTTTTTTGGGAGGGTTTGGCAAGTTTCAAAATGTTCCTTCAAAACTTCCTCCTTTTCCTTAGCAACCGGCCAGCAAAAGGTGTGTAGATCTCTTGCGGGCTGGGCTGAAATTTCAGGGGTCTTTTAGGCGAAATGACACCCCAAGTACTGGGGTGCTCTTAATAGTTCAAAAAGAGATGCTTGACTGCTCGCCTCCTGTGTGAGAATGCCAAGAGGAGCAATCCTCGACTTAACAACCATTTATTTAGCAACCGTTCAAAGTTACAAACAGGCCCTCAAAAAAAGTGACTTATAAACTGACGCCCACTGAAGCATCCTCGGGTCATGTGATCAAAATTCGGGTGCTCGAATCACCCCACAAATTTTGATCCCCCCAACGAAAGGCGAGTGGGTCGGAAAAATATATAATGGTGGTGGGTAAAGAGATGGAAGATTCATGCCTGGATGTCAACTTTGTGCTTGCTGATCTTGTGCAAATCAGAATACAGAATAATAGAGTTGGAAGGGACCTTGGAGGTCTTCTAGTCCAACCCCCGGCTTAGGCAGGAAGTTCCTCCTGAGTTCCAGGTTGCTTCTCCCCTTGATTAATTTCCCTCCGTTGTTTCTTGTCCTGCCTTCTGGTGCTTTGGACTCCAGAATAGGTTGACCCCCCTCCTCTTCTTTGGGGCAGCCCCTCAGATATTGGAAGACAGCTGTGATGACCCGGAGTGTAACACAAACGTAACAAAATCCAAAACGTAAATAAATGTCCTTTAATGCCTCCAACTTGGCCCCGCTGTTTAATAATTCTCAGTTGGAGATAAAACGTACTCAAAAATAGCCTTCAAAGGAAAGCAATACAGTCCGAACTTAATGAGCAGATAAAGGTGAAAGAAAAAACCCAAACAAACTACAATGAAGGAATTTCCACAACGACCAGGATAAGTAATTACCAACTTCAAGGCACAGTCTGTTGGAAGGACGCCAACCAAGATAACTTCAGCCCAAGATAAAACACACTTTGCTTCTGGCAACCCTGTGTTTTAACCGTCTCTCTCATATACTATTCTCCCCAGCTGCAACCATTGAGGGAGATCATGGCCGCTTCCTCTCTCATAAGCCAAGTTGTTTCCTTCTCCATTCCTCCCTGCGTGTCCTAGGATGCAGAGGGGATGGGCCTCTGACTGCCCAGCCGGCCTTTGCCCTTCCCCAGCCTCCTCCACAACCTCTGGAGCCACACCTCCACTCCCTGTCTGCTGTTCCTCCTCTCCCTTAGAGTCCAACTCTACCAAGGGCATGACAACAGCTCTCATATCACCCAATTCTTCCCTTCCTTAGGCTAGACGTGTTGAATTCCCACATTTCTCTCTCAGGCTGAGTGAGTGCAATGCTCTTCCTGCTTTTTCTTTCCAAAAGGGATATTCCTTCATCGCCCCGTCAATCCTCTTCAACCGTAATGCTGTGACTGCTGACGTACTTGAGGCAGCGTACGACGGAGAGCGTCCCGGAAGATCTGCGGTGGCCCGCAGTGCCATGATGAAGGTAAGGGGGGGAACTGTCCTCGGAAGGAGAAGCAGGAAGCCGTAGGAGAGTGATGTCAACTCATAAAACATTCCTAGGCCTGTTTTAGTAGTTGCCATTAAAAAAAGGGGAGTGGGGGGAGAGGAAGGAAATCTGGAAGAGCAGGGCAGCAGTTTGGAAGCAAAAGCACATTCCAACTCTTCTCTTTAAAAGATTGTAACTAAAATACCAGAGTTTTTGCCCGCGAATATATTTAATTGGAGAACGTGAATGATGACACCCAGCCCATGAAGGTGCTCAATTGGAGAACCTGGTTTATGAGACCCTCAGGGGGGAGGGTGGGGAAACATGGTCACAGGGGACTGGAAATGACGTATGCCAGAGTTGGCTTCATACAGGGAAGTGCCAGTATGTCGCCTCTAATGCAGTTTTTTGAAGTTTGGCTCGAGAATCATGATTTAAATAGGACAATTGCTGGAATCCTGCCTGACAAGTGGGGCAAATTTTGCGGATGGTGGAATCGCTCAATGTATAGATAGATAGAATTCTTTATTGGCCAAGTGTGATTGGACACACAAGGAATTTGTCTTGGTGCAAATGCTGAACGATGAAATATGACGATGAAATTCCTGGCTTACAAACCAGAGGGGCCGGGTTCACACAACTCGCTTCGAACACTGCAATGTCTGAAATTTCCCGGGTCTTATTGAAGTACAGGTAGTCCTCGAGTTATGACCACAGTTGAGCCCCAAGTTTTTGTGGTGCTAAGTGAAACGTCGGCTAAGTGAATTTTGCCTCATTTTACGAGCTTTCGTGCCACCGTTGTTAAGTGAATCACCACAGTTGTTAATAGGGTGGTTGTTAAGGGAATCTGACACCCCCATTCGACTTTATAACCTGCTTAATGACTGCCAGGGCTTGTGACTGTAACTTTGGAGTGAATTATGGTCGTAAGTCAAGGACGACCTGTAGAAAATCACCAGGTTCCTGCCAGGAAGTTGAAAGTCAAAAGTTTTCATGATAGGCCAGGTGTTAATTGGACCCGCAGAGTTTGTATGCATTTGAGGTCATTTAGAAGCCAAATTAAGTGATTCTACTTGCAATGTGAAGAGCAAGGATCACCATTTTCACTTGCTAACTCCCTCCTTCTCTCTCCTTTCTCTCTCTCAGGATTCTTCATTCTTCCAAAAATACGAGATGGACTTGGTGGAGCCTCCCCTAGGTGAGGGAAGCTTCTCTGTCTGCCGCCGTTGCCGACATCGACAAAACGGGACGGAATTTGCGGTCAAAATCATCAGCAAAAGGTAGATAACAAATAATATAAAATAATTTTTTATTTTATTTCTTTTCTCCAAAGGGCGTTTTGCCCCTTAGCTAGCCTCATCCATCCAGAAAGTTCTATTTTATTTTATATTTTATTATTATTTTATAATTTATTTTATATTATCTTTATTTTGTATTTCATATTTTATCTTTGTTTCATATTTTATCTTTATTTCATATTTTATTTTATAGATTTTTATTGTATTTATTATTTATTTTATTTTAATTTAATTTTGGTTCTTTTTATGCTGAGTCGATTTCGGATTTCTGACCCAGAAACTTCCTGCTTGGATGCAGCAGGCAAAATGCCCCAGGGAAGCTGTGAGCAGGGGCATTTATACACATGGCCTCAGCCAATCAGGAGGGACCGATGGAAGCAGCCAATCGGAAACGTCTTCTAACGCTCCGCCTTTTAAAGGGACAAAGGCCCTAAGTTTTGCTTATTCAAGCCTGCAACAGCTGAAATTTGTCTATACTGCTAAGGGCTCAGTCAAATCTTGAGCCAGATTTAAGTGGGTGGCCTGGGTTTATTAATATCATCTAGCAAGGGGAAAAAATCCATTTTCAGTCCTGTTGCTTCAATGAGAACACGACGCGTGGCGTGGGAAGACCGAGAAAACTTTTTCGCTCCTGATCGGGCTCGTGTTCGAATCCCTGAAATTAAGATATCCCCCTTTGGGTAGGGAGGTCAGGTCAGAGGTGCTGCTAAGCTAGCTGAAGAGGCTGTTGCTAAATTAAAACTGGCGCTACGCCGAAAACAGAGGCTGATGGATTGAAAAGGCAATGAAATGTGCAGGGAAAGGGACTTTATAGTTGTGGAATGGGCTGTGATGGGACGGTGGCATCTTTCTCCTCCTTTCCCCCCGGTTCAGGATGGAAGTCAACACCCAGCGAGAGGTGGCGGCTTTGCAGATCTGCGAAACTCACCCGAACATCGTCAAGCTTCACGACGTTCACCACGACCAGGTGAGGGTCCTCATTCTTGGGGGAGGCAGCCTCCCGAGAAACCCAACCTGGTTAAGGCTTCATCCACTTGAAACGTTCCAGAGGCTGGACTGCCATTTGTCAGAAATGGTGTAGGGCAGTGGTTGCCAACCAGGGGGCCGAGGACCCCTGGTGGTCCGTGAGAAAATTTTGGTGGCCCGCAGAGAAATGTTACCCCCAAAGCACCCATCAAAGCAATTAATCCAGGCTACGTGAGAAAACAAGGCTTGCGTCGCTTGCATTGCGAACAACATGAGGTAGCGAGGGGAGGAGGGAAAGGGCAGAAGGGGGAACTTGCCCCACTCATCCCACATGCCTGGCCTGGCCACCGGGCTGCTCCTTTCCGCTTCTTTCTTCTTCTGCTTTTGGCTGCACGCAAGGAAAGCCGCAAAAGTCTGTCTTTCTCTCCCCCAAACTCTGCCAGAAATGAGTCTTTGGGACCCTGCAAGGCCTCCTGCTCCAAGAGGCTGCGCCAGCACGACAAGTCTCACGAAGACTCATTTCTGACGGAGTTTGAGGGAGAGAGAGAAAGATTTCTGCTGCATCTGCTGCTTTCCTTGCATGAAGCCAAAAGTCTCTCTCTCTCTCTCTTTCTCTCTCTCTCTCTCCCTCCCTCCCTGAGAACGCAGCTGGAGATGGTATCCTGCAATCCCAAATAAAAAATGATCAATCAGTAGGAAAACGGGGTGGGGAATTTTCCTGCAAACTTTTTTTGGGGGGATTTTCCCAGGATCTCTGGTCTGCAGGATTTAAAATTATGAGTTTGGTGGTCCCTGGGATCCAAAATTTTGGCGACTAACAGAGTGAGCCACAAGGCAGCCGACACTTGACAAAGATTGCAGGTCGAGTACTAAACCAACGATGAGGAACGGGACAGAATTATCCATGTCTTCAATGTGCCGAGCAGCCATTTTGATAAGTTTCAAAGCCGTTTTGAGTCCCGAGGCGCCGCTGTATGTCCCTTCTTTGTCCTTCTTTGTCCGTAGTATCACACGTACCTGGTGATGGAATTGCTGAAGGGCGGGGAGCTCCTGGACCGCATCAAGAAGAAGCAGCACTTCAGCGAGTCGGAAGCCAGCCAGATCATGCGCAGCTTGGTCTCCGCCGTCAGTTTTATGCACGACTCGGGCGTGGTGCATCGGGACCTCAAGCCCGAGGTACGCTAGGAAAAGGGGAGGCTGGGTTCCCAGGGAAGCCACTTGGTGAAGGAGCCCCAAATTGCATTTATAGAAGTTTTCTGTTTTCAACCTGACCCACTTTTTTTTCCTTTTTTCTATTTGCTTGAAAGTCGAATTGCAAGATAGCAATAGCACTTTAGACTCTTCACTGTGCTTCACAGCCCTAAGTGGTTTAGAGAGTCAGCCTCTTGGCTCGAACAATCTGGGCCCTCATTTTAATGACCTTGGAAGGACAGAAGGCTGAGTCAATCTTGTGCCTGTCAGGACTGAACCCCTGGTTATGGGCAGAGTTAGGCCGCAATGCTGCATTCTAATCACTGGGAAGGAAGGAAGGAAGGAAGGAAGGAAGGAAGGAAGGAAGGAAGGAAGGAAAACAGAAAGAGCACTTAGACTTATATACTGCTTTATAGTGCTTTATAGCCCTCTCTAAGCGGTTTATAGAGTTAGCAGTTGCCCCCCAACAATTTTGGGTCCTCATTTTACTGACCTCAGAAGGACGGAAGGCTGAGTCAACCTGGAGCCTGGTGAGATTTGAACTGCCAAATTGCAGGCAGCTGGCAGGCAGCAGAAGCAGCCTGCAGTACTGCACTCTAACCACTGCACCACCGATGTCTTATTTTCTTGTGCTTTTTTGGATAAAATGTCTATCGCTGGTTTCAGGATCAGGAATGGTGAAATACGATCTGAAGTGCAGTGAATGAATGTTTGATAAAAGTTGCGAGAAGGCCAATATATTGAAAATTTATTATTTTGAAATGTATAATTGTAGTTTTGTTTAAAAAAAAAAGTTTAAAACTTTCCATAGCAAGTCAATCATATCAAGTAATATTTGGAAGCCAACTTTATAGAGTTACGAGCGTATCCTGAGAAGACTGCAAACTAGGCCTGGATCAATTAACCATGTTGCAGCAAACCATGTTTAAACCCATAGGGCAAGCCACAAAAATTCCCTAATTTAGCGCTCAAGGATTAACAATACAAGGATTTACGTCTGCAATGGAGCTTATGTCGCTAAGGGAGAAATTTCTTAAGCGAGTTTTGTCCCCTTTTTACGACTTCCCTTGCCCCGTGTGTCTCGCAAATCACCGCAGTCGTTAAGGTAGTCACACGGTTGTTAAGTGAATCCGGCTTCTCCCGCTGACTTTGCTTGTCGGAAGGCGACCGCGTGACCCCAGGGTTACGACTGTTGTAAACGCGAATCAGTTGCCGAGCGTCTGAATATAAATCACGTGACCGAAGGGATGCTGCCAACGGTCGTTAAGTGTGAAAAACAGCCATAGGTCCCTTTTTTTTCAGCGCTGTCGCAACTTCGGTCGCTCAGTGAACTGTCGTAAGTTCGAGGACTACCCTTGTCATGCTTTGTGACTTTGCTCCTAGAATATTCTCTACGCAGACGAGTCGGAGGGCGCTCCCGTGAAGGTGATCGACTTCGGCTTTGCCCGCCTCTGCCCTCAGAATTCGCAGCCCATGCAGACCCCCTGCTTCACCCTCCAGTACGCGGCCCCTGAACTTTTGCAGGACGGGGGTTACGACGAATTGTGCGATCTCTGGAGCCTGGGGGTGATCTTGGTAAGTTGAACCCGTCAGAAGGGACAAGGGAGAGCCGTTCATCGAAGTCGTCGAGTGAAGTTTTGTGTACGGTATATCTTAAGTTAGCAATGAGGGGCCCTTGGGTGCTCTCCAAGCTTGGCTGGTTTCTTGCAGACGTTTCGTTACCCAACTAGGTCGCGTCATCAGTGCTAGAAGGGAGTGGGGATTGAGGAGGAGGAGGAGGAGGAAAGGAGGAGGAAAAGAAGGAAAAGGAAGAGGAAAAGGAGGACAACTGTGGGGTCCTTGGTGCTCTCTGAGCTTGGTGGTTTTCTTCCAGACATTTCATTACCCAACTAGGTCACGTCATCAGTGCTAGAAGGGAGTGGAGATTGAGGAGGAGGAGGAGGAGGAGGAGGAGGACGAGGAGGAGGACGAGGAGGAGGACGACAACTGTGGGGTCCTTGGTGCTCTCTGAGCTTGGCTGTTTTTTTCTTGCAGACGTTTCATGAGCCAACTAAATTACATCATCAATGCTAGAAGGGAGTGGGGTTTACAGGGAGGAAGAGGAGGAGGACTGTCAGCTAGCACTGATGATGTTACCTAGTTGGGTCACGAAACGTCTGCAATAAAAACCCACCAAGCTCAGAAAAGCACCAAGGACCCCGCTTTTAAACCCTGAGCTACAAATATTCTCCCTTATCGATAGAAGCACGAAGCATTGATGGTGGCCTTTTTGCAATCCAAAGTATGGGCGTTCGAGACCCAACATTCCCCCAGCCAGCAGAGCCACGGCCATGTTGGCCAGGAGGTGGGGTGGGGTGGGGACTGTGGGAATTGAAGTGCAGCAGAGTTGGATGGCTCCTGGGTCACAAACAGCTTGCAATTTGCGTGTGTGTGTGTGTGTGTGTGTGTGCGCGGCATTTTGCTTGGCGGTTGTACGTGTCATTCGATCTCCTGGTTAAAATTCAGAACTGCTTGTAACTATAGATACAAATGTGTGGCTTGTAGGGGGGCGGGTGGGAAAGGGAGTAAGGACAAAGATTCCAATAATTATGCATTAAGGATCTCCAGAGAGTTAACGTTCTTTCGGCTGTTGGCAGAGCTGGAGGTGGGATGACATATCTGGTGCAAACTTGGGAGTCGGTTAGACAAAGAGCCCATTGG